GTATAGTCAGGGTAAGGTCTGCAAAGGTCACCAGCATTTAAACCCCATTGTAATGGGATAACTCAGTAATGGGCATTAAGGAGGGCATGAGACACGATGAGCACTGGGTGCTATATGCAAACAATGAACCATTGAACATCACATCAAAAACCAATGATGTACTATACCCTGGGTAATTGATTTTAAATAAATAAACAAACAAACCCCACTGTAACATGTCTTGACTTGTATGACCTGCCCAGGAAGAGAGAAATTACCACAGGCCAGATGGTAGGAGGATGAAGCAGTGGGGGAAGCTAAAGGCCGAGTGTCCTCATTGTACACTTAAGAGAATTAAGGCCCAGGAGAGGGGTGCCTGTCCAGGGAGCAGTGGTCTCTGGGTGTCCCATGCAGAGCACACGTTCTTCCCACTGTTTCCTGTTTCCCACAGAACCACACTAATGGTGGTAATTGTTCTATCTCCAAGACCCCAGGGACTTTCTGCTGAATGCCTACATGCTTGCTGGAAAAAAAATGTGCAAGGTAAGGGTCAAAGATACTTAAAAGCCTTATTTTGGTAAATCTTACGTATCTTAAACAGATTTTCCTTTCATCTTTATAGATCTTTTGAAATCAAAGTAACCTGGGTGGCTCAGTTGGTTAAGTGACTGCCTTCGGCTCAGGTCATGATCCTGGAGTCCTGGGATCGAGTCCCACATCGGGCTCCCTGCTCAGCAGGGAGTCTGCTTCTCCCTCTGACCCTCTTCCCTCTCGTGCTCTCTCTCATTCTCTCTCTCTCAAATAAAAAAATAAAAAAAATCTTAAAAAAAAAAGAAATCAAAGTATCCAAACTGCTTGTCACTTGAGTAAGAGGAAGTGTATTACTCTCTGCCCATGATATAAAATGTTACAACAACAGCTCTAAAGACGGAGGGCCTTTTGGAAATCAAGACTCACCAGCCCCCTTTTGCCAACACTTTGTGGTTGTTGCTACTTAGCCCCCATACACAGTCATAAATGAGAGCCTGCTTCATGCTGGCCTCCGTTGTAAATTAACCAAATTATAGTGCATACTCTCAGAAAGCATCGTTGCTTTCCTACAAATGCCACTCCAGGTTTAGCACTGACTCTCCATGGACATTCCACCTTCCCAAGTGAAGAATAAAAGCAAAGCTTCTCAAACTTCAGGGTGCATTTCTGTCACAGGAATAAAAGGCACAGCATAGTGAATATAGTCAGTGTTATTGTAAGAATGTTGTATGGTGACTGATGGTAGCTATGCTTGTCATAAGCATGGCATAATGTACAGGTAAGCTGAATCACTGTTGTATACTTGGAACCAATGTAACATCGTTTGTCAACTTAAATTACTCAAACTAAAAAAAAATTCCTGGAGAAGTGATTTAAACACAGGTTTCTGCACTCTACCACCGAGTTCCGATTCAGTAGTTCTGGGATGGGACCCCAAAATTTGAATTTCTGACAAGTTTCCACATGATGTTGATGCTGCAGATCTGTGAACTACAATTTGAAGAATACTGGTGTAAAGAATTAAATTATGGAAGTTGTGGGATCCCACGACATCCTAAGCTATGACCTAACTAGGGGAAACAGATATCTGGCAGGCAAGGGCCAGTAAAGAGATCTTTCCACATCTCCTTTTGGGCTCACACTCTGATATTCTTCCTAAGGACTGTGTTTCCTCCAAGTCTGCCCTTAGAACCATCTGCCTCTGAATTACCTGGCCCCAGATCTCAGGGATGAGCATCTCAGGAGGTGGAGCTGGGATCTGCATCTTTAACAAACTCCCAGGTGATTCTGCTGAACATCAAAGTTTAGGGACATTGCCCTAGGGCATCTGTACTGGAGGGAGGAAGAAGAGAACTGAGCAATTAATCCATGTTTAATGCATGTCTTTAACCAAGAGGTTGGTGCCCTGTCCCCTTGGGCTCTCTCCCTGGTGAGAGTGGAGTCCTCACATCTCCATTTCTGAAGCTGGTGGACTGAGAAGAGTAAGCTCCAGGCTCATGACTTTTCTCTGTGTCAGTGAAAGAGTTAGGACCACAGAAGTTGTAGGCTGAATATGATCTCTGGGTATCCTGCCGAGAAGCTGAGAAACCAAATCCATACTCCCAGGAGCAAGATGACTTGAGCATAAAGCTCAGAGCAGAACTGGGTATCCTTCCTCAGGAGAAGGGGTGTGTGTGTGTTTGTGTGTGTGTGTGCCTGTGTGTGCTCATCACTTCTCTGTGCTCTCCCTGAAGTCACTTCTTACTAGTTCCTAAACAGAGGCATACCACACTCACCACTGGCCACTGACTGTCAGACCTTTAACCCTCAGCCTTGGGGAGATGAGGAAGAGAGCCAGCTGGCTGCATAAAATTAGTGGGCATATCCTGATCCAGGCTGGGGGCCTCATCTCATCATTCAAGTCCTAGATGTCAGAATTCTAGTTCTCAGTTGCTTAGTGTTAATGTGGCTTAGTTCTTAGCTGCTCTTAGTGAATGCAGTGTCAACCAGCTCTTTCCAATGCTTATCTCCAAAGTCCCTGATCACTCCCTCCCCTTTAGACAACATTGTTGTTTCCACCTGAAAGTATATTTGAAAGACAACTTTTACCTAGAGAGCTTTGGTTCCTTTTTTTGCTTTACATATAGCACTTATATCACAGTTCTTTCTTAGAATCTGTTTGATGATTTCCTGCCTGAAATCCCTAGAATAAGTCTCATACCTTCATTGAAAGCATCAAACTTTGGGCCCAGGAAAGATCTTTCTGTCTTGTTTTTTTTTATCTTGAAGGTTTTTTTTTTTTAACTTAAATTCAATTAGCCAACCTATAGTAAGTACATCATCAGATTCAGATGTAGTGTCCAATAATCTATCAGTTGTGTATAACACCCAGTGCTCATCACATCAGGTGCCCTCCTTAATGCCCATCACCCAGCCACCCCATCCCTTCCACCCACCTCCCTTCCAGCAATCCTCTGTTTCCTATAGTTAAGAGTCTCTCATGGTTTTTCTCCCTCTCTGATGACTTCCCATTCTGTTTTTCATTCCTTCCCCTACGGTCCTCTGCCCTGTTTCTTACATTCCACATATGAGTGAAACCATATGATAACTGTCTTTCTCTGATTGACTTATTTTGCTCTGCATAATAACCTCCAGTTCGGCCACATTGATGTAAATGGTAAGTGTTCATCCTTTCTGATGGCTGAGTAATATCCATTACCTCTCTCCCCCACCCATATATATCTCACATCTTCTTTATCCATTCTTCTGTCGAGGGACATCTCAGCTCTTTCCACAGTTTGGATATTGTGGACATTGCTGCTATAAACATTGGGGTGCATGTGCCCCTTCAGATAACTACATTTGTATCTTTGGGGTAAATACCTAGTAGTGCAATTGCTGGGTCATAGGGTAGATCTATTTTTAACTTCTTGAGAAATCTCCAAACCATTTTCCAGAGTGTCTGTACCAGCTTGCATTCCCACCAACATTTGTCGTTCCCTGTCTTGTTAATTTTAGCCATTCTAACTGGTGTGAGGTAGCATCTCATTGTGGTCCTGATTTGTACTTCCCTGATGCCAAGTGATGTGGAGCATTTTTTCATGTGTCTGTTAGCCATCTGTATGTCTTCTTTGGAGAAGTGTCTGTTCATGTCTTCTGCCCATTTCCTGACTGGATTATTTGTTTTTTGGGTATTGAGTGTGACAAGTTCTTTATAGATCTTGGATACTAGCCCCAATTACATTTTCCTGGGTTCCATTGAAGATAAGACCCTGAGTTTTTTCACTAGAGTTCTTTGCATTTTATATTTAATAGGAGCAATATCACCTCATGTAGGATGCCTCCTAGGAGTGAGGTGTTTTACATACATTACCTTATTTAATTTTTTTTGATTCAGGAACTAGTATCCCAGTTTTAGAGAGGAAAACCTGAGGCTCCAAGAGGTGCAATGCCTTGCCCAAAGACAGATCTGACAAATAGTGGAAAGGTGATTTTTAATCCATTCTGTCTGATCTCAAACCCCATGCTTTGCCCTCTACAGGACACAGTCTCGCTGTCAAAGAAATATCAGTTATCAGTAAGCTGTGGTTGAAGTATTATTGACCAGAAGGCTGGATGTGGTGGAGTGAGAGTCCATATGTGATCTTTACAGAAGGTTTATGCAGAAAAAAAGAGGTACAATCAAGTTGTATCCAAGGGATTTCTATTAAAATCCCAAATCCCATAGACTAGATAGGCTTACTATTTTAGGAAGGAGTAGTCCTATTTATAAAGCATGAGGAAAACCAGACAGAATAGAGAGAAAGTGGGAGAAGTCCAGAACAGTGGCCTATTGGAGGTGTCATTCTCTACCAGGCAGGATGTGGTTGGACTCTGCCTGTATTCCCAACTTCATCATTGCTGTATATGACCTTTGCCTATATCAGGTCATAATCCCGCAATGAAGTGGCTTTGTGGCACCTGATCCCTGCTCAAAATCTGCCTGTCGAGGGGAGTGAGCAGTCAAGAGGGAGAAATAAAGGGATCTCATGAAACAGAGGACAGGAAACTAAGACTAATTTGTGCCAACTATCTGCTGAGGTGCTTCATTAATGTTATCTTATTAATATTCACAAATTTATTTTTTTTAATTTTATATCCTTCTTTATTGGCTTCATTTTATTTTCAGAGTGTTACATGCCAAAATCTATTCTTAAATTCACCCTGCTTTACAATATAATTTTATTTGGAATAATAAATAGCACAGCAGCAGAACCCATTAGCCATGTAATTAAACAGTTGTTATAAATTCAATGAGTGAGGTGGGATTATACATAATTTTTTCATGACTGAGGCTCGTCGTCATGTCTCCAATTTGGAGATAAGAAAATTGAAACTCAACTGGATCACTTACCCAGAACTCACAAACATGAAGTAGTATTGCCAGAATGTGAATCTATTTCTAATTGCATTGCTTCTCTAATACACCATACGGCACTCAGACATGAGGCTCTATCCTTAATAAGAAGAGCATGAGGAAGGAGAACCAGAGCAGCATTTCTGAGTTCCTCCTCCTGGGGCTCCCCATCCAGCCAGAGCAGCACGGCATGTTCTTCACCCTGTTCCTGGGCATGTACCTGACCACAGTGCTGGGGAACCTGCTCATCATCCTGCTCATCAGGCTGGATTCTCGCCTCCACACCCCCATGTACTTCTTCCTCAGCCACTTGGCCCTCACAGATGTCTCCTTTTCATCCGTCACGGTCCCCAAGATGCTGATAAACATGCACTTTCAAGATCAATCCATCCCCTATGCAGGGGGTATAATACAGATGTATTTTTTCATATTTTTTACTGATCTGGACAATTTCCTTCTCACCTCCATGGCGTATGATCAGTATGTGGCTATCTGTCACCCTCTCCACTACACCACCATCATGAAAGAGAGGGTGTGTATCTTGCTAGTAGCTGTATCCTGGATCGTCTCCTGTGCCAGTGTCCTGTCTCACACCCTCCTCTTGGCCCAGCTGTGCTTTTGCGCTGACAACACCATCCCCCATTTCTTCTGTGACCTTGGTGTCCTGCTCAAGCTCTCCTGCTCAGACACATCACTTAATGAGCTGGTCATTTTCACAGCAGGAGTGGTAGTCATTGCCCTCCCTCTAATATGCATCTTGATCTCTTATGGCCACATTGGAGCCCCAGTCTGAAGGTTCCATCTGCCAGGGGGATCTTCAAAGCCTTATCCACATGTGGCTCCCACCTCTCTGTGGTATCTTTGTATTATGGGACAATTATTGGGCTTTATTTTTTCCCCTCATCTGGCAGTTCCAGTGACAAGAACATAATTGCCTCTGTGACGTACACAGTGGTCACTCCATTGCTTAACCCTTTCATTTATAGCCTAATGAATAGAGACATGAAGGGGGCCCTGGAGAAACTCTTCAACAGGGCAACAGTCTTATGTCGGTGACATCTGCTCATCTTTATAACAGACATGTGTATTCATGTCTCCCCAGATGCCAGACCCCTAATCTTGAGCCTCGCATGCAGTAAGTGCTCAGTAAATATTTGATAACTTCAATTACATTCTGTCAGTTATTGTCTCTTTTCCTACCAATTCTTTAGTGTGAATTATGAATTCTGAGTTGATAGTACTGATTATTGCTCTTGCCTATTAGACTGCGATATCACATAGCTAAATAGAGTGTATGTCTCTCCTCTTATTTCCCGGGAATTTATTAGTTCTTTTCTTAAATAGCTTTATTGAAGTATAATTGACATATAAATGTTATATGTATTTAAAGTGTGCAACTTGATGTTTTGATATGTACATGTTGTGAAATTATCACCACAACCAAGCTAATTAATATTCACTTCTACATAGTTATCATTTTATCTTATCTTTGTGTGTATGGTGAGGAGATTTAATTTAAGACCCACTCTCCTAGCAAACATCAAGTACACAACACAGCATTGTTATCGATAGTCATCTTGCTGTACATTAGGTCTCAAAAACTTGTTCATCCTACATAACTGGAACTTTGTACAATATGTCAGGTGAAATAAGTCAGACTCAGAAAGACAAATCCTGCATGACCTCACTTTTATGTGGAACATAAAATAGTCAAATTCATAGAAGCAGATAATAGGATGGTGGTTGCCAGGAGCTAGGAGGAAGGGGAATTGGGGTGATATTGGGAAGTTATGAGTTTTTAAGAACCTTGGAAGACACTGACTAACAGGGCTCCTTTGGCATAGAAAATTTGCAGAATTGGGAATCTGAAAGGTATTCTTTTTCCTTTCCTCACCTCCTATTCTGTGCTCTTCTATTTGTTGGTGGTGGTGGTGCAGATGGTAGATCAGAAGAGAGTGTATGCTGTCCTTTATAGCTCCAGGAAACTATCCACTGTTATGGGTTCAGCTGCTCTATCTAGGAACCTGAGGCTTCTGGATTTTAGGAACACTGATCACTCTTAACAGACTATAGAGACCTTCAGTCAGCAATTCACTCTCAGACCAGTTATCTAGGAAGCTTTCTGACTGCATGTGTGATTTTCAATAAGAAACAGCCTCAGTTTGTTCGTCTCCCCCTCTGATTTCCCCCTCTTCATTCTTCCCTCCTGCTATCTTCTTTTTTTTTTTTAACATATAATGTATTATTTGTTTCAGAGGTACAGGTCTGTGATTCATCAGTCTTACACAATTCACAGCGCTCACCATAGCACATACCCTCCCCAATGTCTATCACCCAGCCACCCCATCCCTCCCAACCCCCACCACTCCAGCAACTGTCAGTTTGTTTCTTGAGATTAAGAATTCCTCATATCAGTGAGGTCAAATGATACATGTCTTTCTCTGATTGACTTATTTCGCTCAGCATAATACCCTCCAGTTCCATCCACGTCATCGCAAATGGCAAGATTTCATTCCTTTTGATGGCTGCATAATATTCCATTGTAGATATATACCACATCTTCTTTATCCATTCATATGTTGATGAACATCTTGGCTCTTTCCATAGTTTGGCTATTGTGGACATTGCTGCTATAAACATTGGGGTGCATGTACCCCTCTGGATCACTACATTTGTATCTTTGGGGTAAATACCCAGTAGTGCAATTGCTGGGTC